GGGCTGACTTTTACCTTCTTTCTCTTATCTACTATGAGGCACCGCCTCAATTTTTCTCTCATTCCTTATCTTCTGTTCTTCCTTCAACAAACAAGTAGGAGGAAAAACACAACAAAAATCTCCAAAAAATCACTAAAAATCCATATGAATCCTACACCGATTATTCACGGAATAGGGGTGTACATTTTTGTTGTTATAATTTCGCATAACAACAGAGCCCACGACAGAATACATGGCTCTTCAGTAGTAAGTCGACGTGCGGCAGATACTGGTCTTGACTCTTATTGATTGTTATAACATATGAAACTATGAGAAGAAACTGCATACATTGAAACTTAAACGATACCCTCAAATCAGATGGTATGATTGTGAGTCTAGGAATTGAGACTTTATCACAACTTTGGCACCAGTTAAAATTTTACATTTGGGGACATGACTGTCGAGCTTAGTAATAACCAAAATTGTACTGTTGCACAATTCAATGGAGTGATGAATGTTTAAGAGTCGTGTTGTAGTTATTTTTACCGGAGTTAGATCAAAGGAATTAATCCCCGGGTCGTGTCTCAAGGAAGGTTGACAAGATTATTTGTACGGTATTCAATCACTCGAAAAGAGAAACCAATGTCCTAAACATTCTAATTCAATTGATTTGGTTTGTATTATCAACTAACGATCCTCAAACAAGGTAGAGCAGAATTTCAATTCTAAACAAACTCACGTAATGATAGAAATGATAATCGGGGATGATCGCATTCAGTACTTAATACAATTACCGGGCAATCAATTGCTCGCCTAAAAGACTTGAACAACTTACTCGTCTAGAGGTTTATTCTCAATAACTCTTCGTAGCAAGAGAATAAACGTGAACAATCAACTATCAAATCAACCAACACATAAGCAATACATTTACGAACAAGCCTTTTCTAAACGAGCCTAAATCGACCGACTTCTCCCATTTTGGTTTTAAAAATCGATTAACTAGGTTAAAATGGTTATCAATCAACTAACCCTAGGTTAAATACAACTCGCATAGGTTGAACAATTATCAAGAACGTAACCAAAATCGAACCAAACAATCCTCTCCTATCCCTAACTAACGGATTTAGCCACTCATCATGTAATCAACACCGATAATCACATCAAAACAAGCCATAACAATCGTAAACAAAACGAACATAAGAACTTACGATTAATATGAATTCGAATGTCAATTACCGAGAACAATCCAAATCCGAAAGATTGAGTTTTTACTCTGCAAAATCTAAATCCAATCAAAAATCAAGTAAAATTTAAGAGGGAATATGTTTTGAAGAGAGAAAATATCGAAAATAGCAAGTCCGGAATGTCTAAAATATGCCCTAAGCCCGTCATAATACCACTCCAATTCGAAATTCCATTAAAATTGCGAGTGACTCAAAACAGGGGTTAGCGTTAGCGCAGCTAAGGTTGGAACACGCCGAGCGTCTGGGGTCGCTAACTCTCGATAGCGCCGCTAGCTGCACAGGGGTTAGCTGCGCTAAGGCCTGGGTAACTCTCAAATGTTGACATTTTGACTTTGCGTGCTAACGACTAGCATATCTCGGGTTCTGCCCGAGATGGAACTCGATCCTCGCATGTTTGGGTACCACAAAATAATACTCGAACGACACATTTCTCCTCTCGTCTGAATACTCACCATCCGATCAACCTAAAACCTGGAACCACCATAACCGGAGAAACACAGAAAGCAAAAAAAAATAAGAAGTAAACAGAGAAAATACAAACATACCAAAATAAAGATAAAATTACAAGAAACGGCTAGACGGACCGGAAAAGCCTAAGAAACGACCTAAAATGGGGGAAACGACACACAAAAAACCAACAAAAATAGCAATAAAAATGGGACAAACAAGCAACATCATTGCAGTGTCGACTTTCAAGTGTAATTTATGATTCAGAAGTCCCGAGCACTTAATACTATCGAGAAATTCCAGAGTATGAAGATCTTGAACAGAGTCATATCCAATGTTTGACTTGTAAGAGTGTACAAACTCAAATAATTATTCCCTTAGATGAGTTCAAAGAGCTCATGCACTCATTAACAGACTCAACGACATCAATTGCAGAAGCAAGTATGGCTCTGTCCTTGAGATAGCTAAGATCGTCGTCTGAACTCGTGAACCTCGACTAGGTAGTCTCAACAATAGTAACAACATGATCTCCTTTTGATATTAGAAGAATATAATTGGAAATGTCGATATCGACACAACCGTCGTTCGTTCCGCCGGTTGTCTCGTCGTCAATGCTTACAAGCCACTCTGAGAAGCACCTCAACTCATACTAAGGCTTCGAAGTCACTTCTAAGTCAGTTTCAGAACGACACAATCATGGCATATATAGTGATGTTTAGGTATTAATTTTAAATAAGATACGTTAAT